GTGCCATGTACCTGTCCCTGCACTGTATCTCTACTCTCGAACGTGTCCCAGAGCCACTGCAGGAACTCAGCATTCAGGTGGGTCGGCCCGAGGACGGTGAGTGACTGCAGCATTCGATCAAACATGGCTTTCTGGTAGATATGGAACTCGGCAGGGAGGTTCTCTTCGCTGTTCACCTTAAAGGCCACGCTCACCTGCGTCCCTGTGCCCGCCCCACAACTCACGCCCCTGATGGAGGTGATGTCCTCCAGGAGGCCCGGGAGGTAAGACTTCAGCAGGGAGTGGCCGTGGAACAGCGACTGCCCCCGCAGGTGAGTGGAAATGTCGAATCCGACCACTATGTCCACAAAGCAGTCTGGAGACCAAGGGAAATGAGGCCAAGTTAATAACGAGACCAACTAGAAAGGACAGGACTCGTAGCGAGGACTGGGAGTTCTAGTACCCAAAACTGTCCACAGAGCTCGATCAGCATGGAATTCAGGAGTCTGCTCTCTCCCCTCTCATCTACTACAAGTTCCAACAGCGATTTGAAGTTGCAATCATAGCTTAGGCTCGTTCTCAGCGGCCTCTGCTCTCTCTCTCTCTCTCTCTCTCCATGTATTTTCTTCTTTTAATGACAACACATATGATTAATGTAACCATGACAGATTAAAACATGATTTACTGTTAAGATTACTTAATGCAGGGCCCTCCCTGGTGGCGCAATGGGTTAAAGCACAGCACTGAGAAGCTATCCGCAGCCATCTCAGTGCACGTTCAATCTCTGGCCAGGGCGGTGACCCACATGGCCCGGCAGACCTCTCCTGCCTCACTGCTGCTCCACAGAGCAGTGTACTTTGTCAATCTGCCTGTTCTGCTCCCCACTCTGTCTCTGGTGAATCCTCTCATGGTCCCTGCACCTCTTGCCTATACCCCAGTTCCAAATGCATAAATAAATCAATCTTTTAAAAAAAGAAAAAAAAGATGACTTAATGCAGCGTTGCCAACTCACATGGGCACAGAGGCCAGCTGAGTAACAGGAGTCCACTGGGCGCATGGGAGAAAAGGGAGCCAAGAGCAATGCTCACATTTCAGTCTGTTCATTGTTGAGCCCAAGCAAAGAGGAGCCACGTGGGGAAAGGGCCCAGTGTGGTCAGATCATCTGATGTTTCAAAAAGAAGCCTGAAAACTACATTTTCAAAGTAAAATCCTCCAGTCTGTACAAGCTGTCAACTAATTTAACAAGTTTTCAGTCCCAGACAGGATAAACGTAACTCACTAGCAAGCTGCCACCAGGTCCCCTCTGGCCCAACCACGCGCTCATTTTACACATGAGGAGACAGCGATTCGTGGAGTTGCTGCCTTGAACCAGACTCAGAGCCTTGGTTTCCTGATTCTGGGCCCCATACTCTTTCTACAGTGTAATCTGCCTCCTGTTAGGCACCTCAAATGGGATGGGAAAGATCTGGGAAGCTTGAAAAGAGCAATGTATTTTGTGAAAGAAGTGGATTTAATCCTACCAACTCTGGAAACAGAGATTCTCTGAGCAATTCCTGTAGGCTGTGCAAATCCCACAGTGTGATCCCTCATGCTGCCTCCTGACCCGCTGTGCTCCCAAGGCCTGGGCACAACAGCACGGACGCTGAGTTCCGCGTGGCCGCTCAGCTGGGTTGGAACATCTCCATCAGACGGTCACCACTCTTGGTTCATTTCCTGGACCCCTGCACATTGGGCCCATTCAGATCACCTCCCTGGCCTCATGGCCATTCGTGCACGTGACTGTCCCTCAGGACAAACCAAATCCTTACTGTGTTGTGGTTATGGGCTGCCATTATTAAAAGAAGAAAAGCGACACAAATATCTTCCCAGCACAGCACGTGTATAAACACACACACACACACACACACACACACACACACAGACTCCCCTACCAGATGCTTTAACAAATTTAAAATAGTAAAACTTACAATCAGCAAATGCTTGCTTTACTTTCTCCCTGCTGCGTGCAAGGCATTGTCTGGACTCCCGGGCGTGGAGACAGCAGAGCCAGGAGACTGGGTGCAGGTGCTAAGGGAGCGTGAACCAGGACTGCAGGAAGCGGGTGGGTGGGGCAGAGGGAACCCCTCAGGACCTCGAGCACCCTGTCCCAGTCTCAGACAGAAGATGGCTGGTCCCACTCTTTCTGGAAACGAAGGAGAGTTCTATTCCCACTGCACCTACTCTGAGGACCTGGTTGGCTACAACTGATCTACAAGAATCTGTGGGAAAGGGGGAAATATGTCATTCAAGAAGAGACCAACGGCCAGGGAATACTTACTCGTTTTCCCACAGCTCTGGCAGACTTCACGGACCATTCTTTTTCTGACATCTACCTCTTTTAGCTTATTAAAGTCTTGAAATGTGGCTATTTTGCCAGAATTTTCTGTTAGTGGCAAAAGCTGCTGCTTTTGAACATCTCCAATGCCCCAGGCCAGGATGCAAATTCCAAGGCTTTTGAGGTGACCCACTGCCTCTCTCACATTTTCCGTGGGGGGCCCTGACAGGATAACCACCAGGGTCTGGGGAACGCCAGCTTTCCCCCTCCCACCAACCGTAGAATTGAACATGAGCCCCACTTTTCTAAGGGCCAAGTCAACTCGAGGAGGCTCTTTGGTCTTGCTAATAGCTTGAACTCGATGTTTCCACTGGCTTTTGGTCAGACGGTCACTCAGCGAAACCAACTCCTTGTAGGTGGTCCCGAACTGAGCTATTCCAAGTTTTATTTTTTCAGACTGAGGGTCAAAATTATCAATTAAGTCTGACAAGAAAGTCGTCATGGTAACAAACTCTGAATCAGATACGCGGCTGGAGCTGTCACAGAGGAAGATCACATCCGCTTCTTGAACGTTACACGCTGTCACAGGAACAAATGGATCAATTATTTTTCTCATACATCATTGTCAATTGTCCCTGTGCTCAAATACATAAATGGTTTCATTAGCTCCCTCTATTAGTCGCAAACTGAGATATATTAACAGAGGAGAGACTCGCTGATTGACCTACAAAGAGAAGGAAAAATAGCAAGAATGGAAAAATAGTCGCTGGTTTCCCAATTCAGTAACTTAGAGGATCCATTTGATAAGGTGCTGAAAGTCACTGAGGGAAATAAAGTAAAAAATCTGAACTGACTGAATTTATTCATTTAAAGGTAATTACTGAAGGTAGAGGCCCTGTCACACACCCGGCTGGAACGCTCACCCACACCCTGCGGACAGTGCCAGGGGCCTCCTGTTACCGCGCCTGTTAGGATCCGTGCTGCCATAAATAGTACACTCATCCGTGTTGAGAAGTGTAACACGACAGTGCTTTGGGGGGCTCCCTCGTGGCGTAGGGGTTAGGTCTCATCGTTATCACCTCTGAGGCCTGAGTCTGATCCTTGGCGAGGGAGCTGACCCACAGCAGACCTCTCCTGAGTGTGCTGCTCCCCTCAGCAGTGTGTTACAGTTGATCCATCTCTTCTGCTCGCCACTCTGCCTCTGGTGAATCTCCTCACTCCCTGTGCCTCCCTGAAACTTGGCCTACAACCGAGTTCTTGTATGCATAAATAAATGCAAGTAAAACTTAAAAAAAAAAAAGTTTTGGCATATAATATACAAAATGCTATTATGAGCACCTGATGGGGAATAATTTTAATTTTATAGATACAGAAATGGAATTCAGAGGTTGGGTCAGTTGCCTAAGAACCCACAAGAACTGTTCAATGAAGCTGGTTCCAGAATCTCTAGGCCCTTTTTATCCTTAAAACCAGAGCTCTTTCCTGACTATGGGTTGTTTGTTTTGTTTTGTTTTTTATAATAGCCTAACCCGAATATTAAAACTTGCTGGGGTAAGTGCCAGTAACTAGTAACAGGCAGGGGGCTGTCTCCTGACCCTCCAACATGAAGTGTCCTGTAGCTAAGGGGGTCTTCACAGCAGGGCCAGCCGAACCCGTGGCTGAAGCAGGACAGCACTGAAGTGACACTGAAGGTGACCAGGACTATAGTGCCACTGTCAGCATCCCTGCCCGGGCCGGAGCCAGGCACGGAGCGCCTGCTGTGCGTGCCGTGGGGTGTGGCTTGCAGATGTCCAGTTGTCTGCTCCTTCAGGTCTGCCTCACTGCCTCGCCAAAGGCGGAGGCCTTTCCGGGGAGCCTGTGTCCAGGGACTCATGCAAAGTGGGAGTGAAGTCCAAGGCACCTTGGTCTGCTGATGGTCCCCAGCTCTGCTGGTCAGTGCAAACTCCAGTGCCCCCCTGCCAGGCTGGGAGCGCTGTTGTGTCCATGGACACACACCCTGAAGACCCCCATCTTGTCTGAAGCTTTGACAGGATGCTTCACTGTCTGACTCCTGCACCCCCTGCTGCCTCCTCCTCACACAGGTGTGGATCTATGATAAACATCTTGCACCCCAAACTCCATCTCTGCCTCTATGTCCAAAAGGCAGACACTGGAGATGAGGCTAACACTTCCCCTGCATTCCTAGGAATAGACTGTTTTCTGGGTAATGTGCTAGATTTGTGGGCACAAACAGTTCAGAAGATGAATTTATTGGTAACTGACTGCCTTGCGGCTTGCGGTCAATTTAATTCAGACCCTGAACTGACTGGCACTCAGGGGATGGATTTATTTGGAGTTGGACAGTTTACAGAGATGGGAACAAGTGTTATAAATAAGACTGGTGTGCAGGCAAGAGTAGGCTTCAAAGTGATGGAGAGGGCCTCCCTGGTGGCCCAGGGTTCAGCCTCAGCGCTATCACCCCGACAACCTGAACTCGATCCCCAGCCAGGGAGGTGAGCCCATGGTGCAACAGACCTCTCCTGGGGCATCCACTGAACCCCTCAGCAGTGTATTTCAGTAGATCTACCTGTTCAGCTCCCCACTCTGTCTCTGGTGAATCCTATCACCACCCCTGCATCCCAAGTATGTATGTATGTATGTATGTATGTATAAATAAATAAATAAATGTTCCCAGAAAATACATAAATAAAGATGAAAAAGCTGGGAGCCCATGCCGAGATATCTTCCACTCACAATGCCCAGTGACATTGGAAGGAAGGAAGCGACATTGCCCAGGAAGTGCAAACTTACCCACCTTCCATTTCAACTTTCACTACTACCCCCACAGAAACATAGAATCGCAGCTTACCTTCCAGCGTGTTGATACACATGCTTTCTTGCAGCGGGTGGTAGACCTCCTTCAGTTTGTCAAAATTATCCACGTGGATGGCATTGATTTTATTCCCGGCTATAATCTCAAGTTCATCTTGGTTGGCCTCTCCGACACCCACCGCATAGATGATGATGCCTTTATCTCTTAACTTCGAGGCTGCCTCAGGAAGCTTAACTCGGTCGTGGGACACCCCGTCGGTGATGACGATCAGCATCTGCTTCACGTTTTTCTTGATGCGGCTGCCGCGCTCCTCCGTGAATAGGCTGTTTGAGCGCTCAAGAGCCTCGGCGGTATAGGTGCTCCCTTTGGTGTTCCTGGGCCTCCTCAGTTCCTCGCGGATTGCTGGCTTGCTTGAGTATGTGTTCAGGTAGAAAAGAACCTCAGGGTGGTCGGAGTATATGAGAGCTCCAAACTGCACTTGGTCACTGCCAACGTGCGTTTTATTCACAAGACGGACAGCTAGGTCAATCATGCTTTTTTGCTGTTCTGTGTTTATGCTGCCAGAATGGTCCAGCACAAACACGACATCTAGCAGTTCGATTCTTTTACAATCTGAAAGGAGAAAGCGTGAACTGCCAACAGTGCATTCTGTGGACTGCTGAGAGCGAGGGCAAGGGAACATTTGCCACTGGCCGACCACGTGCCAGTCACTGCATCTCACTTAATTCTTAGCGGGGG